ATTTCGTGAAACATATTTGGCGTCTTGTTCATTAAATTCTCTCATCCTACCGATGAATTATTACGTAAATGTATTGAAGTGAATATTCTACCTGTGACAGCACTGGCAAATGCCAGCTATCGATGTATTGCTAGATCTTGGAATGTCTTGTCTAATCTAACGTTATTCTACTGAAATATTTGTGAAAAGATGATCTGAAGATAAGGTACTATCACAGACTGCTATACTCTGGTGATGACTTTAAAAGTCTTTAACACGTTGAGCGCCACGTCAGCCATTTGTGGCTGACACTAGACTCTCCGTTTAGGCCGCCAATTTCGGGTGATGCCGTTCTCCAACAAGCTCCTCCTCGTCGTCAGAAGGTGACAAAAATACATTCTCTCTGGGCAGTTTTCTAGCAAGAATAATTTCACTGCTGCTATCGGTTTCACACTCTCGAACTGACATTTTTGACGCTTGGGGGTTAAAGAAAATTTTGAACTGCAATGAACTGGTTTGTTGTAAAGGGAACACCGGCCACGAATCTATTTCGATAAAATGTTATCTAGGTGGCCAAACAAAACAAAACAGATTTAGCGCATAACGTATTGAATGAATGCCTATAGGAATCACGTTCCAAGCGTAAACTATCTTCTACTGCTATAAAAATCACTGGCTGTACAATACCAGCGCTTTTAAGCGGCACGCGTGGCCTGAACGGGATTCCCTAAGAAATACGCGTGGCGCTCAACGTGTTAAAGGCTTTGGCAACTTATACGAGACGCAAAGATTAAGTTGAGTCGTATGCCACCCATTAACATAAAAATGCTCCATTCTTACTACACAAAATTATGCAAATAGAACTTAGTCTTTCACTGCAATACCGTCAAACACGGGTTCGCTCATGACGGTGCTTTATGTAGAAGCGATATTCGTTTGAAAAGACGATTTTGTAACTTATATGGATGACATTTTTGTTACATTTTCTAGTTACACCTGAGCCAGTGGTAGCCGAGATAATGGTCGCTAAAGAAAAGACGTGGAAGCGACGCTGTTGTTTGTGCAGCAGAGACTAACGAATAAGCTAAAATGTATCACGTGGCTGTAAAATCATTCATATTTGACAGGTACCATAGGTCTAGCATATTTATTCTTTTTGTGTTTAAGGACTGTTGATAGATATTTTAGGTCCGTAAGTTCATAATCCTCAGCCCATTGAAGCCACTCTGTCATCACTGTTATCTGATTCATTTAACGAGTGTCATTGCTTTCACAGAAAAACACACGTTCTTACCATCATACCATTCTTATTCTCAGAGCAGGATTTATCTATAAACTACACAAGCTATAGCTTAGGGCCCCCCACTTTCTTGGGATCCCCTAAAAAACTTAAATATTGTATAAATATAGTATAACAGACTTTAAAAGAGGTAGCCCAAAACTTCCGATACTTTACGCAGGCTGTCTGTTCACCACTTGCGCAAAAAAGACGTGCCAGGCACGTCGAGATGCTTTTGTCTCAAACCGCGCGCAACGTGGTGCACACGTCGTCTAACAACGAGATAGTTTATTTCTCGAGTAACAGCTCTGGACTGCACTCGGCCCACCAGCGGCCGAGCGGTAAAGTCGCTAAACACTGGTTATTCGGTCCGAGGTTCGAATCCCGCGAACGGGCTGGCTGCGGGGTTTTTGTGGTTTTCCCGGTGACGTGTATCGAGCCAGTTCCTTAGAAAAGTCTCACGAAAGGCATCCCTCCCCTTAGGCAGATAGCCCTAGTGTGCTTTGCCATAATTAAATACACCACCACCTGGATTGCACTCGCAGACGCGGAACGGCGTAAATGAGACAATTTACCGCTTGTTATATTGTTGCGCACGGCACCGCAACCGTTAGGTTTAGTCGTAGCGCAAGTGGTTAATTACTCTCTAATACCTGCTTCTGAGTGAGTGATTCTCACGCATGATTAGCAGAAGTATTAGGTTGGTAATAATTTATATATTATGTATTACAGATCGATGTAGTTTTCTAATCAAATCCAGAAATTTTAGAGCCTTGCATAAACATAAAATTTCATCTTCTTAACCATACTGTTAAGAATTAATGCATTAAAAATTTTTTTTTAAAAAATGTTTTCAGTTTTTAAATTACGCACAAGAGGCTTTTTTTAACGATATGCGTGTTACTTTTATTTAGTAAACATCATGTTCTTCGTACTTAAACCACAAAATTAAATTCAGCAGCAATATCGCAAAATAATTTTAAAATAGTATATCTTTAGAATTTCAGATATACTGTCTCGCGCGTTCGAGATAATCCCCCCCGTTTAGGCGCCCCATTGCTTGCTTTAACCTTTTCCGGCACGCTACCTTTTAAAGGAGTTTTGATTAAAAAAAAAAAAAAGGTAGGCAGTCTACTTAGGCCTAGAGGAGTACACAAATAAAATTTTATGAAGATAGCACTTATCGTTTAATTCTGTGAATGTGCCCAATGTGGGCCACTGATTGAATAGAAGCTTCGAAAAGAATGCCGAAACGAGCATTGTGTCAATGAACTGACCGATGAAATGCGGAAAAACAAGAATACAGATTCTCATTGTCCTAGATGATCGGTTGCCCGGTCGGGCACACCTAGGGTTCGCCGTTTGTTTTTTTGCAGATTTCAAGTAAAATTTAAAAAATATATAGAATAAGAAGATTACATACAGCGTTAAAAAAACATAGAAATTTCTTTTCAAACAATTCCTTTTATCTTCCTAAAAATATCTGGAAGATTTCTTTGAAAATGCGGGTCTTAGAAACTAACATGGCTAAAATATATGGACTGGTTTTGTGTTGAGCTGCCATCTACTATAATAAAGAAGGTTCAGAGTAACCTATAGTAACTTTTAAATCCTTTTTCATTCAACTTTTCTGTGCGTACAGAAGGAAATTTTTAGGTGTGTCCAGACCGGACACACTGTGCCACAAAGGGTTAAAATCGTTGCGTTTGTTAATCAAAATTTCTTTAAAGGTTTACAAAATATGAAACATAGTAAAATAAATTCCAAATTAGGGCTTTCAGATGCCCATATTTGGGTAAACGATTACGTCAATCAAATTTTGATAGCTCAAGGTATTGTTGTTCCTTCACAGTGCAAGAAATATGCATACATTTATGTAGATTCTTCATTATTTAATTTCTTTAAAAATATAATGCAAGGCCTTAAAATTTGCGGCAAATTTTAAGGCCTTGCATTATATTTAAAGAAAAATATTTAAAAGTGATGCGCTATTTACAGCGATTTCGACGCCAAAACGAAATTAATAGCCTTTCTGGGCTAACAATGTGAGGTGAAATAATTAAGATCTTTAACTTTTTTACCGACGTACGTTTTTGGAAATGATGTAATAGTCTGAAGGAAGAACCTCATGAAATAAATAATTTTTAAGAATATAAAAATTTAAATAAGCTTTTTAAAGTCTCGATTAGAAATACAGTATTATAGCCCTGTAATTTTAAAAGACAACTTGCTCACAAAAAAAAAAAAAAAAAAAAAAAAAAAAAAAGGTATTCGTTTTACGTTTTTAGGATTGTGGGCTAATTGCATTGCTAAGAAATTCAATCTTAACACATCACATGAGCTCACGATTATATAACACTAGAAAACCCGGCGGTCGTTCGAAACAACCGCTGTTCTAGATATTATAAATTGTAATTAAAATGATTTTGTGCAAAGGTTTCTGCTAATTCAAACTGAATTACCCGGGAAGGCTGCGAGGACGCCCCTTTGCTTACTGCCCCACGGGGTTTCCCCCTTCTACTTGCTTAATTGTTTAAAGTAGAGTGCAATGAAGGAAACTACTGGCGGTACATTTCTTAAGAGCCACCGCTAGCTCAACAATCAATAAAGGTGATTTAAATAATAAAATGTTAATTCACATATTAAAGATCCCTTTATACACAACATTTCTTTCCTTTCGCATTACATTATTTTTAATTTTACGTGCCATCTTTCACGAACTCTTGAACAGGCAACATAAAGGTGACCGCGTCCAAATGCAGGCTCAGGTAAAAAAATGCCAACACGCTTAAGTGTTTGGCCCTGAGACTTATGGATGGTCACAGCAAAGGCAAGTTTTACAGGAAATTGTCTACATCTCAATTGAAACGGCAACCCTGTGCCGTGGCAACTTCAACTCATTGGCTAGTACTGTTACAGAAGAAACCAATAAACTATCGGCGACAAACAGACACTTAAGCCGCATATAATAAAGATATTTATTTATTTCATTTTATTTGTTTTTCGTCGTCGCCGGTTTTTGCCGGTTGCATATTTACGATTTCTATTATATACAGATGTTAAATTTATTTATTAAATGCGAATGCACATGCTCTTGTATTTTTAATTTTTTTCGGCTTAGCTTTTCTAATATTCGTCACGCGCGCTGCACTTCACGGGAATAAAACAATTTACAGGTAAGCAGCCAATAAACTATCGGCGACAAACACCTAAGCCGCTTATATAGATTTTGAAAAAATTTAAATACACGCTTAACTTTTATTATTTTATTTGGCAGCACTTGAATTTAATTACTAATCTTTATTATTTTATTTGGCAGCACTTGAATTTAATTACTAATCTTTATTATTTTATTTGGCAGCCCTTGAATTTAATTACTAATCTTCACCCACACAGATCAGTCCATTTTGAAATTTTTGTAACTTGAGGCTTTTTTTGGAAGTTGGGCTACAGTAAAGGATTAAATATTTAGATATTATAGTACTGTTGGTTAAATTCTAATATAAAATGTTTGACATATTATGAGAAATATCAGAATGTAGCTCATGTATATGAAGTTTGACAATTAGCTGGTTTCAGAATTTTTAGAGATTTTCGAATGGTGAAGAATACACAGTATCTACAAAAGCATTAAAATACTGCGAGAAAATGTTATCTATGTATCAACCGGGATTAAAAAAAAGCAGTTAATTTTGAATTATGTAATCTTCTCAAATCGGCATAATTTCTTTATCTGTTGCAGGTCCTCTGGTAAGTGTCCTGACGCATTATACATCTCAGCGCAAAGCTTGCCTTTTGGGTTCAGCCATTGCGACTTTCGGCGTGGCTGGGTGCTTCTTTGCTGAGAATGTCATGTGGATCAATATTTTTTACGGTCTCGTACATGGTAAGTTCCATTTATATCTGTGACCCATTTCAGAGACCATCTTGAAAGGAAATTAACTGGGTTTAGAGAACACTAGCCTAATTTTTTTCTGTAACTTCTTTAAGATAAAATTTCACGCATAATTTTAATATTTTTAGCTCTGAAATGGCATATTTCTAACACACATTTTCTCCCTAGTGTTTAACGCGCACATGTAAATTTTCCATTCCGTAAGGAAATTCATGTTCATATACATTTCTATCGACATGCTTAAATGAAATTTACAAGTATCACATAACAAAACATTTATAGTATGGCAATCTTTGAAATAGGTGATATGTCGAGTGTTCAAAATGTAAATTATAATTAAAAAATTATGGAAGTTCATTAAGGCACTTTTCCCTTCTTTCCGCATGCCTTCGTGGCGTAACTGGAAGCATACTCGACGCGTATTCGATAGGTAGGTACTATTCTGCTTTGAGGGCCGTAAGAAAATTGCAGCGAAAATGTATGCGCAAAAGCGCCAAATCTAGCAAACGCGTCTATTTGACAGCGCGCCAAATCTAGCAAACGCGCTGATTTCAGATTGCGTAAGTTTATAAAGTTCTATATTTCTCAAGATGCCATTAAAATACTAGTTTAATTTTTAAATCCTTTTTTGATATCCTATGGATTTAACAATTTGGGAATTGCTCATGACGAAAAGTTGGCAACAGAATTTTCGGTAAAGTGCAGAATCACCCACTGCTTGACGTGTTTTTAAGAATTGCACATACTCAGTATCCATGTGCACATCGACCTATTTTCACTTAAAAGAAAAAATCCTAGAATTGCACAAAAACGGCACTGCGCACACCCTTGACTTTATCTATGTACACATCGACCTTTTTTCACTTAAAAGTAAAAGAAAATTGACACAATTCCAATTGTTTTTTCTTGCTCTTGTAAAATGTGCCAAACAGTGTCGATGATAAGTGGGCGATTCTGCACTTTACCGAGAATATTTCAAAGAAAAGGCATCATTCATTATGGAAAATTACGTTTTGAACACCAACCAACGAGATGAAATTATGCTTTTAGCGTTAAGTCGTTAGCGAAATCGCGATGCAGGCATCCATTCAGTTATGTTTAGCAATTTTTATACAAATTATAATAATGATCTGAAATAGTTATTGAATCTCATGCTTCCATTCAGTCATGTTTAGCCATTTTCATATAAATTATAATAATAAGTATTATATGAAATTAAACTTTCATCTAAATTAAAACATCAATCTTAGATAGTTATTTACTATTATACTTCCTTTCTTGCCGCAATTATTACGGTTGCCGCAATTCGTTTTGGCAGCATTGGCATCAACGATAATTTGGCCATTTTTTACGGCCCTCGAAACAGAATAGTACCGATAGGTCTAGGGTTCGAGTACCGACAAGGGTGCTGAACATTTTTCACGTCTCCTGCTTTAAGATAACCAAATGACACCCCAAAAAAGTGGTAGAAGATAATTCGTCACCACCAGGATTTAGTGATTAGGTCCCTAATCTGCAGTCGCCCTTTAAAAGGGGGAGTATTTATATAATGTATTTTCTCTCTCCTTTCCGCATGCCTTCGTGGTATAATTGGAAGCATATTCCAGAGGTCCAGGGCTCTAATCTCGGCGAGAGCATTGCACATTTTTCATGTATCCTGCTTCAAAATAACCGAATGACTCCACAAATGGCGCCCGAACTGGAAAGATGGTGGACGATAATTCGTCACCGCCAGGGTTTGGCGATTGTGGGTCCTCTAATCCCCAGTTGCCCTTTAAAAGGTGGGATTTGTAAGGTATTTTTCCCTCCTTTTTTGCATACCTTTGTGATGTAATTAAAAGCACACTCGACGCGTATTCGAGAGGTCCAGGGTTCGAGCCCCGGCGAGGGCAATGCACATTTTTCAAAATAACCTAATGGCTTTACAAATTTTTAACACTCAGATAGACGTTCATGTTAATGTAAAAATTATAGTAGTAATGCAACGTAATTATAAGGACAGTTATTCTAAAAAATACTAATTCGCCATACTGATATTAAGCTTTCGCGGTAATTAGAAACAAGAGACAATGCTAAAAAACGATGGTAAAAGAGACAGATTTTGCGAGTTAATGCAGTACGTTTCAAACTGTCTCCAGAAATAAGATCACTGAGAGTTTTAAGTTCCTTATTAGGTAGTTAGCGGATGCCTTACAGGTAAATACAGAGGCGGTTCACACATTTTTTAGACGAGGTATATTGTATTCACAAAACTGAATTACATAAAATTCTTGTGTTTTAAATGTTCTATTCGACATCCCTTATTCTGAACTATCTTTCGACACCGCCATTTCCAGGATAATAATGCCTTTTGAAGTGGCAGAAAAGGTACTCTATCCCATTCCTCCCGAACAGCTTTCCAGAGTGCTGTTAGGGTTTGGGACAACGTTTGATATGCAGTTTTTAAGTCCGAAAGCACAATAATCCATAGTGACACCTCGGGAGATTTAGTAGGGATATCGGTGAGGGTTTGGCTTTACCAGTTTTTTTTTCATTTCTTTTAGGAATTTACAGTGGATTTTTGATGTGTGACTGCTAGCTTTGTCCTGATGGAGTCTCACAGATTACTGGCACTGAGGTGTAAAAGCGATGGTATTTCATTCAGACAAATGCTATAAAATATGTTCCTGATATATTTGATAAATCTAGACTTTCTTGCACTCTCTTTATTTTAAATATGCCACTATAAGAAAAACAAGCAATAATCATGAATCCCTTAGAAAAACTTTCTTTCGATTCTTTGACCATGTACTTACATTTTTTTCTCCCCCTTTGTAATAAATGGCTCTTTTTTTCGTTCAATCATTTAAATACACCCATGCTTTCATCTACTGGACAAGTGTTTCCATTTTTTTTTGGATAACTGTTTCTCATATAGAATTCTTGCAGCGTGTCCTGCTTTGAGCGATATTCTTCGGAAGAAGAGATGCACATTGCGTTTTTTTTTTTCGCTTTCTTAATAATTTACATCAACTTTTATCATTTTTTGTTTACAGTGGACACCGAGATTTTATGATTTTGGCAACTGTCCTTTACTAGGGGGATTTTCTTTTAACATTAAACAACGTACCTTCGCAATAGTCGAAGATGTCCGTTTTTCCTTGGATACTTGTTTGGAATTTTTGTCCCACTTGAGGCTCCAATTGAACGTTTTTTTTTCCTTTCTTGTTGATATTACCTATCGACGCTTTAGATATCACAAATCCATGACTCTCACATTGTTTTTGGATAACGGAGTATGCCTATTTCTCTTCCAAAAGAGCGTAAATGTAGCTTTCGAACCACTGCTTTGTTGAATTCGCCATTTTGAATAAAACAAACTTTCAGCCACAGACGATAATTTTGACTTTTTAAAAACATAGTACAATTGCAATTACTTCTTTTGCAGCAAACGATTTTTTATTACCGCTTATCAAAATCGTCTAAAGAAATGTGCGAACAGCCTCTGTAGCAAGTATATTATCTACTGTCGAGTTAAATATTAAGAAAGGTGTGAATTAGCTGAAAAAGAAATGGCGCAGAAGGAAACTACGGATAAATTTAAAATCGCAACGAAATGTGTGAAGCGGCTACGAAGCAGAGCATGTCTAGATATACGAAACCAATAGCGAAAGAACTGCCACAAATTCCATCCTGTAAAATCAGGCCATCAAAGGCCGAGCGGTAAAATCACGGAACACTGATAATTCTGACCTGGATTCAATTCCAAGCGAGCCGGCTGGCTATATGCTCGTTTTCATGGTTTTCCTAGGTGTAACGTGTACACGAGCCATTTTTCCTTAGCCACGAAAGTATCCCTCGCCTCAGGAGAAACCTTCCATTTGCTTTACCTAAAGGATTTATAACTAATGTGTGTGCTAAACCAAACCAAACATCCTGTGAAATACTTAGGTGTTTGTATATTATTAACTACTTGTTTTGCTTATTACAAGTAGAGTCAGGAAACAAATGAGGCAAGTATTTTGTCTCTTTAGGAACATTTGACTTGATAAATTTGTTTCTGAAATGACGGTAAATTTACGTTAAAAGTCTGAAAATCAACAGCAGTGCTGTTATTAGATATAAATTATAACTATCAGATGCAGAAGGAAAAAACAACCTATATTAAAAGTTTACTGCTAAATAAATCCTTTAGGTAAGGCAAATGGAAATATCAAATTCAGGAGAGAACGAGTTGCAGCATACAGTACACCACTACCTCCTCAGAGCAGGTATAGCCCCGATTTATCACCTATCAAGTATACCAACTCATGCAATGTTTCATTATTATTTTGATCTGAATTGATTTATTTAATTATGGCAAAGCACTGGAAGACTATCTACCTGAGGGCAGGAATGTCTTCGTAGAGAACTTTTTAAGGGAAACTGACTCGTATACACGTTACGTATAATGAAAACATCCATGCGCTCAGCCTGTACGTCGGGATTCGAACCCGGAACGAACTACCAGTGCTCAACGATTTTACCGCTCGGCTGCTGGTTGTCTCATAATTATTAGGAAGAGTTCATGCTATTGAATACATATTATTATTGCTTTAAATTTCACAACTGATGCTTTTAATACTGTGTCATTATTTTGCACTGTTTGTCACATAATTACTCACATTGTTATGTACACATTTGGATGCTTGAGTTTATAGACTTAACACGGGAAGCCTTTGTTTCCATATGACATTACACAATAGTGCACATTAATATGAATAATTTATATTATTATTTCAATCTATAGTTTTATTTAAGCATTCAGTTCAAATACACTATTAGGTATATGTTTAATTGTACACAGAATTTTGAACTTCCTTTTGATATAGGTATACAAAAGCATAAATAATATGGATACCTGTGATACTTTAAGAGAGTTGTGACACAACTATTCTTCTTATCTGATAATTTAATATGCATGCTGCTCTTTCAGTTCCACATAATTAATTTTTTCACATGCAACGTTAAAT